CAAGATTTATTAACTAATTTTCGGTCATTTCGCATTATGACTACGCATCGGGTATGAAAAATAGTTAATTGTCTCAAGAGCTGTTTTGCTTTTAGCTGTGGATTTACCCCCAGTCATTTTCTGAAAAATCCTTTCATTCAGATCTTTATGGCTCTTTAAATCTTGTCTTACATTTCTAGAAGGAAATTGTTTATACAAGCGCAAGTTCGATAATTTACTTTCTTTCTAAGATAACATATTTAAATACGTATAAAATCATGCATCATAGAGGAAATTTGGTTCGCTTTTGTTGCAGCTGTACGAAGCGGACCAAATGAGACAAAATTGAAAACGCCTTCTAATAAATATTTCTGGAGCAAAGTTATAGATATTAAGCAGGCCGGCAATGCAAACTTTATATTATTATGAAGTAATCTGGCAAATATTTGCATCAGTAGATTTGAGGATTTATTACTGCTTTACACGATGATTGCCATTTTAAGCTCAGTATTGTGCATAAATACTTTATCAATAGACATTTTATCCCATGCATTTATTCAAACTGGTTTTATTCTCACCATTTGTGTGGTAGTTTGGACTTGGTCCCATATTCTAAACATAATTTTAGTCGTCTGCAATAATGTGACATTCTTGCAGCTCTTGCAGTTGGGCATTTTTTCTCACGACCCTCTCCGAATCGAACACGCTTCAATTTGATCATATTTCTGCTCTTGGCAGATAATTACTTCATGGGAACTTTTCTTCCTCTGATAGCTAAGCAGACTTTAGATTACACCTGATGCCAAATAAAAATGAACACGCATATGACGTTGTTATAGGCACATCGTCCTTCTCCCCTCCGGCGCTTTTGATACACTTGTTTCATTTCCCATATTTGCCAAAAGTCTGATACTCCATAAACTAATGACTAAGCACTAATTGATGCTTCATTGTATTTGATAGAGTTTCTTGAGGCAAAATTAAATACGCCTATTTAAATAGCAAAGTTTAGTCCTAATAATTCTCAGAAAGTCGCACTACAATTTTTCGTGAATACGCTTCCCTCCGCGGGTGACTTGTGCAGGAGTAAAAGTCACTAAGCAAGATAATAGTTTTAATAATATAGATATATAATAGAATGAGAGAATTCATAATATGATAGCTCAACGTTTAAGACCTCTATTAAGCGGGATATTAAAGTAATTTTCTAAAAAAAATATACTCACGAATCCGTGCTTGTCCGAGATATTGTTGGTTAGCTTGAGCTTATGAAAAGAGATGATCTTCTGCATCCATTGCTCGCCAGTTGCAGGTGAGTCAGGGTGGATATACATACGCTTTGGCATCTCGGGATCAGCCTTTCCAGCTACCAGCCACTGGCTATTATGGAACTTATAACGGCAGTCATCCATTGCAATTATGTCTAGCAGCATGATGTATTTGGCCCGCTTCTCCAGACCGCTAACCTTCACTTTGAATGGAGGAAACACACGCCTTTTGACCGAGCGGCCAAGCGATGATTAAACGAACATACAGAACCAGTGTTGGTTAAGAGTTTGAGTTTACACATGCAAATTGTTTTCATATGTTTTGGCCAATGAGGAGTGAGGTATGGAGTAGTCCAAAGGCACACGGTACACGGATTTGGATAGATTAGATGGAGTTATTTGGGTGGAGGGGTAAATAGAATATAAAAATAAGGTTAAGTTAGTACATAATTAGAATGTACGAAAACTCGAAACATTTAACAATATAAACCTATAGCAAGAATTATTAAAGCGAATTTTTGTAAAACAAAAATGTACATCTAATCATAACTATATAGAAGACGGTGGATTTTGATAATAGTATCTTTTCTAAGCAAGAGCATATTGTTTAATGAAAAATCTAGTTTATTTAGAATCACACTAGGCTCTTGTCTGGTCAAGAAGAGAAAATCTTAGGCTAATTCACAATTTTAATAAAAGGGATTCATAAACTGGCCTCATCGAAAGCTGAAGAAATATTACCTTGTAGTTATTGCAAGAAACTTTTTCGAATAAGTCTCCAGCATAATATCCTGAGCCCGGGTTGAATTTTTAAGTCTTCAATCTTCGAAAAATGCTTATTCCATTTGCCTGAAAACAGACGAGATGTTTGGAACAATACCCTCTAGTCCAATTACATGAATAAACACGACAAGGCTACAAGCATTCAAGGTAGATAGTTCTGATTCGTCTTAGGCTGTGCTTAAAGTTAAGCTCCTTAAGGCACAAATTAAAAGATCGGAAATCGTGAAAAATTGCTATTAAAACAGGAAGATGTTTATTACTCCAAGCATTTGTATGCTGTTAGAAACACAAAAAATATACGTATATATTTTCAATTAATGAGATCATAAGTCCTTCTCAACTAAGTGTGACTGTTGCGCATTTGGCGATGAGCTTTTCGAAGATCGATAGTCTGTGCCATTGTCGTCAGTGGAATGCAAGCTCCGACATCGGTTTGGACTCTCCAACATTGACCGAGATTGTCAAATTCAGGATATGCTAACTCACAAGAGGCCAGAATGATTCAAACAAGTTGAGGAAGCGTCAAGATGCTGAGCATCACTGTCATTTCTTGATTTAGTTGGGCCCAGAATATGCAGTTTTAAGTGGGAGTAAAGATTTTTTGCTATGATTATACTTTAATTTGACAAATTTCATAAAATCTACCAACAAATCAACATCTAGGCTTCCTTGAAAAAAATGACAACTAGTGGGTGAGCTATTTCATTGCTTCTGTGTTATTCTGGCTGCCGAAAATAGTACAGGAAGTTTGCATAGTTCCAAATGTCCAATTTGAGGTTATTAAAATTTGTTCATACTCTGCAGACTAAGTAAACTCTACAATGTATATGGCTTCCATATCCTGTGTGTAAGATAAAGTAATCCGACTCGTGAACAACTATAGTGCATTCTTAATTAATGCTTACAGTGTTGCAATGCTTTATTATTCGCCAACCTGCCTGAGAGGGACGGAGCAATGCATAATTATTACTGGAGTTTAATTCCATTAAAGCGAAAATTAAGATAGTAATATAAGCAAAAAATAGGAGTACTGCGCAATAAATACTTTATGCGGTAACGCCCAACGCGTTTCCTTTTTCTTTTAGCAGACTTGCAACCCATCAAAAATTCTTTGGCCGTTCAGCTGGTGCTGTTATGAGGAATAGACTGGAGAGCGAAAGAGTTCTCATTGGGAAACTTTTGCGATAACTAGGGCTCCATCATTCACTACAAACGTACACACAAATTCCAATTCATTAGAGAGATAAAGCTCATGGACAGATCCCAGAGTTTTATGCATCAAAACTTGTCAGTCAGGGAAAAGTTAAGGTGGAAGCCAACATGCTAAGCTAACCTTAGCCATCTCCAAAAAATGACCCTTGTGACAAAAGCATATGTTAAGATGGTGCACTGAAAGCAACCAGGTCTCCGGATCCTAAGATGTCGCCTTGTTCTTACCCTAGAAATGTATTGGCTATACTTATCATCAAATGCCGCTTATGACATTTCGAACTGAATATCGAAAAGGAGAGCTAGAAAATGTGGATAAAACTATTTTAATATTTTGCGATGAGCATGTTGACAGACTTTGGGTGATAAACTAATCCGTTCAAACGTAAAAATTTAGTCTTTGAAGCTTGGAAATTAATTTTAATGCAAATAGGTGGGGAGATATAGCTGATCGAGACCAGCTAACTATGTGAAGAGATCGACAGATAAATGGAATATATTTTCCCCTAAACGCAACGAGTTTAACGTCCTAGTAAAGAGAACGGGTAAATGCACAGACGAATTCCTTGTACTCCTTCCACTGGGCAAGATGTTATCACTTGGGCAAGATAGCTAAAAATGGAGGCAACGCAAGTTGGGTTGATTGGAGCTGTCAGGTCGCATTCGTCTGGATATCCTCCTTCTCCGACTAAGCCAGTCCATCTTTTTACCATGGTCCCTTACCTGAAAAGTATCGATATTTCTAGACCCCCTCCAGCCTCACTCTTTCCTCAATTCTACCTGATTTAGCGTCCCTGCGGCCGACAGACCTTGACGGTGCAGGCTGTTTCGTGTTTCAAGGGATTAGGACTAGGCGTTTAGCAGATCAAATTGCCCCTAGTGTCGTGGTCTCCCCATGGGAGACCAGATTTAGAACAGTTGTGCACAGCCGGACCATGAACCTAGACCCTTCTCCCCTTATCCACTAAGCCTCTGTCACAATTGACCAGGCCCATTTTTCGTATAGTTAAGAGTGGACGAATAAGAGGGATGGTACAAATGTTTGCCGTAATATGCAAATATACATATAAATACATATACAAACACTTATGTTCATTTTTATCTTGCTAAACCCAACGCATTTGTGCGTGCATGTGAGAGCCTCTGAATAGGCCTATGCTTCAGGGAAAGGCAAGATGGTTCACCGATTTTTCCCATATTATTACGAATTCAACAGTATATAATGGACCCTTAGAGGGACTGTAAAAACTTAAATTGTAACTATTTATGATAAAAAAACGATGGAATTTTAAATAAGACTGCTGACAAGAATAAGATATTACGAATGGTGTCTACGGTTTATCCACTTGATAGTTTATAAAATTAGGTAGAAAAGAGGTAACTATTGGGTGCTTTGCTTAGAGAAGATTTAACTAGCAAATTTAATTTCAATATAATGACGGTTAAGATTATTAGAAGGATATACTCATTCT